TCTGTCCCCCGCAAATCTCATGTTGAAACGTGATCCCCAGTGTTGGAGGTGGGGCCTGGTGAGAGATGTTTGGGTCATGGGGGCAGATTCCTCATGGTCTGGTGCAGTCCTGACCACAGTGAGCGAGTTCTCATGAGATGCGGTTGTTTATAAGTGTGTGGCCCCTGCCACTACCCACCTTCCTCCCACTTTCGCCACGTGACGTGCCTGCTCCAGCTTCGCCTTCTGCCATGAGTAAAAGCTCCCTGAGGCCTCCCCAGAAGCCAAGCAGATGCCGCTGCTACTTCCTCTGCAGCCTGCAGAACTGTGAGTCCATTAAACCACCTTTCTTTATACATTACCCAGCCTCGGGCATTTGTTTACAGCAACACAAAAACAACCTCACACACCTAGAGCCCAGTTCTGACCTTCTCAGTAATCCCCCTTTCTCAACACAGAGCTCCAGAGACTGAGCGGGTGGTTCTGTTCCTCTACCCATTCCTCCCCACAGCTTCTCCTTTCCAAGATAAACATTCCCGAAGTAATCATTAAAATGACTTCTGTGATTTATATTTCCTTCCCTTCCCTCAAACACAGCAATGTTTTGTTTGTGTGCTGTCATCCGAACAGCAATCCGGACGAGTCTGAAGATGTGGGGCCCATTCTAGACCCCAGCAGCTCTGTGACCTTCAGCATTCTTCTCTGAATAGATTCTGAGGTCGCAGTGGAAGCAGGTGGGAAGAAGTGTCCATTCTACTTTGGAACTCTCGCATCTCACAGGAAAGCTGCCCCTCACTGCTGGGATCCCTGAACTGTCTACATGGCTAGGGAGTGCCTCCTCCCAGGTGGGGTCCCCCCTTTGTGCTTGCTCACGAAGAAGCATGCCACTAACACCCCACAGAGGATAGCCAAAGGCCCACCCAAGCCCAGGTGAGGCCACATGTGAGATCTACTCCCAGCACCTGAGCAGGGTCACATGGAGATAATTTACCAATGCCAACGACATCACCCACCGGGTAGTCCCATTCTGTGCCAAGCCTTCCTAAGGGCAAGCAGCAAGGCAGCCAATAGGTTGTCGCCCAGACAATAAATCATAGACCACATTGTGACTGTTTTTGTAGAAGTAAAGCTCAGGAAGAGAAATGGGTTCTGACTGAGCCAATGTTCTGACAGAGAACATTCTTAATAATTGTAGATACATGTCAAATTTCGAAAATAGATTTTTTTCCCCCAAAGCCAAGCTTGTATGTACTGGCACTTCTCGCAAGTAGTTGTAAGTACAAATCTCTCTCACAATTCCTGGAACATAACAATGAACAAAGGAGAAACAAGGAGTTAGCATCACTCTTTGTAACCCAGGAGACTTCACCTAGAACCCTGTGGTCCCAGAGAAAAGCCTGTTCCCGGTGCCCTCTCACTCTGCCCTCTGAGCCCATTTCCCCAAACCTGATTTCCCAAAGGAGGTAGAGCCTCTGGTGGTTGACCCCAGACCCCAGGAAGCATCAGGAAACACACTGGCGTGGCTTTTTATGGTGGACAAAGCACTGCTGTTGGCTCAGTCTTCCTAAGTGTCCTGTGAAGTAGATGTTACAACGCCAGTTTCACAGATGGGGAATTTAAAGGACACACCAAGGTCACAGAGCTGCTAAGTTCTAGAATGGACCCCATATCTTCAGATTCTCTGTCTACTTGCTGTTTGGATAACACTGGCACAAATCCACATGTGTTTGAGGAAAGGGAAGGAAACCATCCAAGTAGTCTTGTTTAACCTGCATCTGAAATCTAACTAAATTAACTAAGACTCTTCTATCCAGGAAAGAAAAGATTTGTATTGGGATTCTGACAGATTACATTATTGGCTCAAATTCTTCTTCCCTCCCTGTTGCCACACCCTTTGACATAGGACTCTGCAGTTCCTTGTAAGAAAAAGACAGAATATATTTTCCCATTCCTCAGTTCTGTGAGGTATTAAGGCAAAGCGACAAGGTGCTGGCTCTAAGACTAGGGCTCAAGAACCTGGCATGCTTCCAATTGCTCTCTGATGTCTGTCCTGTTACCATGAGAAGAGCACGCCTGAGCTGGCCCACTGGTCCCAGGAAGAGCGTAAGAGTTCCATGGTACAGAGATGCCCCAGCTGAGATGCCCAACCAAGCCCAGCGAGAGCCAGGTCCCCTGCCAACCTGCAGCAAAAACTCCTTAACAATTAGACTGGTGCAGGCCACCTGCCCCTGTAGGAATTGGTACAGAGGAACTCCTAAGCCCTCCATCAGGGAATTCCTACATTGAAAGAGAAGTTGGAACACACTCACTGTTCCAGACTTCGGGATTTTACAAGTGAGTAAAGTTGGAAAAAAAAAAAAAAAAAAAAGAAGGGGTGGGGGAGGTCCTGGGTTGCTAACTTTTTGCTTTTTCAAGCAAAGGCAATATATAAAATTAACCATGACTTACTATCACCATCAATTCATAAAAGATAGGACATTTTAACACTAAAACTGAGAAAAGGATATAATCTTAGAATATGACACAATCCTTTCTAAGCAAAGTTACTTGGCCACCCTCCATATGTGAGCCTTTTTCTTTCCTTCTGTCACAGATCAATGAAAATTCTGTCACCAAATAGCTCCAGCCTGTGTAACAGCAACTTTTCTGTATGCTTTATGGTAGAACTGTCAGAAGAACACGAAATTAGCTACATAAATTATGAGACTTAAATCTTGGTTCTGTTGGTTCTGTGACAACATAAAAGTTACCTTAAAAAAAAAAAAGTCAAAGAAGAAAACAAAGCTAAAAATAAATTTGAGCACCTCGGTCGTACCTTCTCCACTGGCTACCAAAGGCAGTTGGAGCACCCAGCACAGCTGCCCACCCTCAACCACGTGCCACTCCTGAGTGACACTCCGCAGCTCCCTAAGATGCCAGTGCTGCTCTTCCGTGACCATAGTAACGTCTGAATAAAAAGCACAGTGGTGACTTAAATGGAAGCTCTACCGGGGCTACAGGGACACATAACTGGGACAGAAGGGAGAGGCAGAGAATCCCCAGCACCAGCTCCAGGGACACATGGCTCAGTCAGCCATGAGTGCTGTCTTCTCTCTGAGCCCTAAAGAGCCAGTCCAACCTTCTTCCAGATGTGTGGTGACCTGGGAGAAGAAAGAGGTCTGAAAGTGGACGGTGGTCACAACAGACTAGATTATCCTTCAAAACTATCCACTATAACGTGGACGCCACTTTGGCTCTGGCTAACAGAATGTGAGTGACAACCTCACGTCAGTGCCCTGCAAAAGCTTTAGGAGCCAATGTGTGGTTCTCCAAGTCCCTCATTTCCCTCTGTCGTGAGATCATCACCGTTTTCTTTTTTCCTTTTTTTTTTTTTTGAGACGGAGTCTCACTCTTATTGCCCAGGCTGGAGTGCAATGTTGCAATCTCGGCTCACTGCAACCTTTGCCTCCCAGATTCAAGCAATTCTCCTGCCTCAGCCTCCTGAGTACCTAGGATTACAGGGGTCTGCCACCACGCCCAGCTACTTTTTTTTATATTTTAGTAGAGACAAGGTTTCACCACGTTACCCAGGCTGGTTTCGAACTCCTACCTCAAGTGATCCTCCTGCCTCAGCCTCCCAAAGTGCTAGGATTACAGGCATGAGCCACCGCACCCGACCGACCATCAGCATTTTCAATAGAGGCAGCTCCTTCAGGCTGAGGCCCAGACTAAAGTCTGTAACCAACTCCCAAAGGGCACGTAACATGGGTAAGAAATAAACCTTGACTGGTGGGGGTCACTGAGACTTCAGAAGCATTTGTGACCGAGGCATATCCAATCTGACCTACGTGACATGGATGCTATTCACTGGGTTGGAGAGCTCAACAGCAGTGGCAACAGGGGAAGGTGGCGAGCTCGTCTTGGAGGTATTTCTGTACTTGGTCCCTGGGTGAGAGGCAGGGGTGAGGGTTGAATACAGAGATGCCTAAGACATAAGGTCCCTGACCTCAGCAAGCCTAAGACCGGCTGGGAAGGCTAGCCTGACCCTCACATGTGTGGCTCTAGATTTTCAATGCAGAGAAGCAAGGGCTGTTCTTTGGAACTGGAAAGCCTCCGATCTAATCCCAACCCAGACATTTTCTTCCCACCTTCATCCGTTCTTCCCGTGGATACTTACTAAGCCAGGGATGGGGAAAACAAACAAGGTCCTTAACCTCACAGGCTCACATTGAGGTGGGAGGATAGACAATAAGAAAATCTGATAAACACCAACTGGGCACACTCTCTCCAGGAAATGAGCAGGGTGAGCTGAGGGACACTGGGGAAGGCTGTTGTAGGTAAGGAATTCAGGAAAGGCCTTTCTGAGGAGGGGATGTTTGAGACGGAAAATGAGAATGTGTCAGCCATGCAAAGAGCTGCCGAAGAACAGAAAACGTGAGTAGAGCCACGGCAAGCACAAAGCGTCTGAGACGGGAAAGAGGATGGCTTGTTTGAGGAACAGAAAAAAGACCAGAGTTTTGGAAACAAGGTGGGCAAGGAGGGGCTTTCAGGGAGCCACCCTGCCCTAATAGTCTATGTTTAGGTGATGCTGACCTCTTCATTCAGCCATCTGTCATCTAATCAACAAGCACGTATCCGGAGCCTATAGTGTGACAGGCTGTGGCCAGGATCTGGGGATGGGGTTCCTGCCTACCAGAAACTCGTGCAACTCTCAGGGCTCACTGTCTCATGACCACAAAGAAGATGCCTCTGAGGAGCCCTTGATGGCTACGGAGGCTGCGAGGTGACGGCAGTGGGCAAGAGCCATGGTCATCCCTTCCCAGAAGAGTTGGGAGTGCCCGTTCAGCATCCCTGGGGCCTGCAGCCTCCTGGACTCCCGCTGGGAGATATCGGGGGCAGAATGGAGATTGCATAAAGTCCTCTGTCCCCTGATTATAACAGTCCTTCGGCACCCCTCCACAGTCCTTCGGCACCCCTCCCCAACCCCAGAGAGGCAAGGACGTAGAAATCATCTGGCACAGGGCCCAGAAAAATGGTCCTACCATGGAACCAGGGGGCGATGAACTTGGTGTTCCTCTCGAAGCCAGCTCGGCGAGGCAGCTGCTCCTCCTTAAACCAGCGGACGATGACATCTCTGGAGACTGGGCGCAGCGGGCGCTCCCAGGTCCTGCTGAAGAGAGAGAAAGCGGGGAGGGCAGAAGATTAAGGAGGGAGAAAGGGCAGAGGGAGAGGAAAGAAGAGGGGAAGGAAGGAAAGAGGAAGGGGAGAGGAAGGTAAAAGGAGGAGGAGGAAGGGGGGTGGAAGAAGGGGCAGGAGAGAGCCATGAGAGAATGAATAAGCACGGTGCCCACATCCATGCCTACAAAGAGGATTAAAACAGCCCAAGTACTTGAAGGCATTTTGCAGATTATAATGTACCACCTGTTATTGTTTATTTAAAAGAAAACTGTTACTGATTGCTTCAAAAAACAGCCACACAGTTGGGAATGAAAAGAGGCTAGGAGGGGGTATCTGAGGGAAAGAAAAGGCACATTTTCCCTCGAGTATGGCCAGGGCATAAATACCAGCATGGATGAAGGAGGCTCCTGATGGGAAGTAACTGAGTGGGTCCCATCTCCTTCTCTCCCTCAGAAAGAATTCTGGGTCTTATCCCCTCCTTACCTCTCCCTCCCCGCCCTCTGAGGGGATGCCTGCCTTTGCCACAACTCCTGTGCTTTTGTAAGGCAAAACCAGGACAGTGAACAGAGAGAGAAACCGGAGAACCTCAATTTGCTCTGGAAATGGCTGAGATTCCCTGCCCAGAAAATAAAAAGTATATGACAGAGGAAACGGAGGCAGAAGGAAACAAAACTGCACATTGGTTACTACGGATGGAAAGGATGAGGGACTGGAGGCATGGAGGGCAGGAGGAGGGGCACAGGAAGAGTTCAGACGAGGAAGTAGATACGTTTTAAAGTTTTCTCACAGGTGAGCTAAGATCGTCATTGTTTTCGTGTCTGAACTGCGATTCCCAGATGCGTACACAGACTGGGCGAAGTGAGACCCCACTGCGCTCGGGCTACACTGAAAGCACAGTAAGAGCTGGCAGCACACGACCCGTGACAGGCACCCACAACTATGTGGTGAAGTACAATGCAGTAACACCACGGTGCATGAAATCATGGCACAAAAGTACAGCATCTGGGCCAGGCGCGGTGGCTCACACCTGTAACCCCAGCACTTTGAGAGGTCGAGACCAGTCTGGCCTGGTCTACTCCCTCGTCTAAACTCTTCCCGTGCCCCTCCTCCTCCTGCCCTCCATGCCGTCAGTCCCTTACCCATTCCATCCGTAGTTACCAATGTGCTGTTTTGTTTCCTTACGCCTCTGTTTCCTGTGTCATACTTTTTATTTGCTGGGCAGGGAATCTCAGCCATTTCCAGAGCAAATTGAGGTTCTCCAGTTTCTCTCTCTGTTCACTGTCCTGGTGCTGCCTTACAAAAGCGCAGGAGTTGTGGTGAAACCCCATCTCTACTAAAAACACAAAAATTAGCCGGGCGTGGTGGGAGACACCTGTAATCCCAGCTACTCAAGAGGCTGAGGCAGGGGAATCGCTTGAACCCAGGAGGCAGTGAGCTGAGATCGTGCTACTGCACTCCAGCCTGGGCAACAGAGTAAGACTCTGTCAAAATAATAATAATAATAATAATAATAATAATAATAATACAGCATCTGAGGAACAGCCCACCTTGAACAACCACAGCCTCTTCGCCATTTCCAACTGAGTGACAGGAGCCTGGTAAATTCTTATTTTGTTGTTGTTATCCACCTAATAGTACTGGCATTTAGAATTCACGGTTATCCTTGTTTTTTATAAAATCAATGTCAGCTGTCTTCTCATGTGGTCTCCGTATTTGCCCTGTACCCACACTTTGACACTGTGCTCAGCGTACCTCCTTACAAGCCCAGAATAAATCCACAGGGCATTTCTTTACTCGCCCTAAACTGAATACACTCACATATGCACACGCATGCGCACATACAGTAGCAGACACTGTAAATTTTTGAGAAAAGATGTCAGAAGGACAGAGGATGAGGTTACATTGCACAGCTTACAGCCGTCATCGGTAGAGTTGACCTCCACACCCTGTCTTCCCACTCACTGCCACTCTGGACTTTCCTTTACCCTCTACAGCCCTACAGCCAGCCGGCCTATGTTCCCAGTCCTCACACTCTTCCCTCTCAGTAAGTTCAAATGTCTTTCTTCTTCATTAAGCAGTGCAGGGCAGCCTGCTTCACCCAGCCTCTTCCTCCACATTTGCATCCCCCAAAAAGTAGCTGTGCTTGGTGGGGAAAAACTCCTCCAGTTTCTAGGACTCGCTTTCCTTAGAAGGCAATAGGAAGTTATATATAACAGCAAAAAATAAATTCACACACTCTTGTCCCTCTGTTTCTAAGCAGTCGATTTGAATTTGTTTCCAAGCAGGGAATCTGACTCCCCCAGAACATAAATGCTACATTTATATACCTTAAAATTTTGATCATTCTATATAAATTAGATAGTTTGCACTCTTCTTTTTTCTTTTTCAGCTAATCTATGGCGTTTTCCCCTGTTATAAAGCCTTCAAAGAAGTCACTTTTAGTTCCACAAAACATTCCAATGAATTGACTTAACCCAAATTCACTTTAAACAATTACATTGCTTCTGACTTTTTGCCATTATTAATAATGCTATGATAATCATCTTTGCACTTTTTCCAATTTGCAGATAATTTCCTTAGCATAGATTCTAGCAGTGAAATTACTAGCCAAAGTCATACCAGCAGTAAAGAGTAGGGCCTGGGTAAAAAGATATGTGAGCAGCTTGTGTATTGGTCCACAAGAGCTGACTGTTAAATTTTCAGGAATTTTCTAAGCCAGTTAAACATAGCCATCATTCAAATTTAAATGTAATAGGCCAGGCACAGTGATTCATGCCTGTAATCCCAGCACTTTGGAAGGCTGAGGTGGGCAGATCACCTGAGGTCAGGAGTTCGAGACCAGCCTGGTCAACATGGTCAAACCCTGTCTCTACTAAAAATACAAAAAATTAGCCAGGTGTGATGGTGCGCACCTGCAATCCCAGCTACTTGGGAGGCTGACGCAGGAGAATCACTTGAACCTGGGAGGCAGGGATTGCAGTGAGCCGGGATCGGACCATCACTGCACTCCAGCCTGGGTGACAGAGCAAGACTCGGTCTCAAATTTTGTTTAAAAAAATTTAAATCTGGCCAGGCGCGGTGGCTCAAGCCTGTAATCCCAGCACTTTGGGAGGCTGAGGTGGGCGGATCACCTGAGGTCAGGAGTTCGAGACCAGCCTGGTCAACATGGTCAAACCCTGTCTCTACTAAAAATACAAAAAATTAGCCAGGTGTGATGGTGCGCACCTGCAATCCCAGCTACTTGGGAGGCTGACGCAGGAGAATCACTTGAACCTGGGAGGCAGGGATTGCAGTGAGCCGGGATCGGACCATCACTGCACTCCAGCCTGGGTGACAGAGCAAGACTCGGTCTCAAATTTTGTTTAAAAAAATTTAAATCTGGCCAGGCGCGGTGGCTCAAGCCTGTAATCCCAGCACTTTGGGAGGCCGAGACGGGCGGATCACGAGGTCTGGAGATCGAGACCATCCTGGCTAACAGGGTGAAACCCTGTCTCTACTAAAAAATACAAAAAAACTAGCCGGGCGAGGTGGCGGGCGCCTGTAGTCCCAGCTACTCGGGAGGCTGAGGCAGGAGAATGGCGTGAACCCGGGAGGCAGAGCTTGCAGTGAGCTGAGATCCGGCCACTGTACTCCAGCCTGGGCAGCAGAGCGAGACTCTGTCTCAAAAAAAAAAAAAAAAAAATTAAATCTAATAAATACACAATTAAATAAATTTTATTAAAATAAGGATAATAAATACTCAAAACTCAAAACAAAAAAAGCATATAAATACTAGATGTGTATTCTAGGAGGCCACTTGGCCCAAAGCCTCACTCCTGAATCTGAACCTGTCCTCCCATCAGCGGCACGCATCTGCCCTCAGCACAGACAGACGAGGTGTGCTGGCAGGCACCAGAGAGGTGAGAGCAGTGAGGCCATAGGGACCCATCCCACGGGGCGGCCACAGGAGAGAGGCTGGTAAGAGGGCCTTCTCACTGCCTGGGCCTGCTGCCCTGTGTGCACAGCTGCTTGTCCCCTTTGAGGCTCACTCGGGAGTGAGGCCACTGCTCCCCTATTGGCTGCACACAGCCAGCCCAGAGCCAGGCTGCACCATGGTCCATGTGGCTCCATCAAATGGGCCTGAGGGAAAATTTCTAGGTTTGTTTTAAAAAGCATAGATGGGGAGAAGGCTTTTCTAACTATGCCCTCAAATTTAGAAAATATAAAAGAGGCCAGGAGCAGTGGCTCACACCTATAATCCCAGCGCTTTGGGAGGCCAAGGCAGGTGGGTCACCTGAGGTCAGGAGTTTGAGACCAGCCTGACCAATATGGTGAAACCCTGTCTGTACTAAATACAAAAATTAGCCAGGCATGGTGGCGCGTGCCTGTAACCCCAGCTACTCAGGAGGCTGAGGCAGGAGAATCGCTTGAACCTGGGAGGCAGAGGTTGCAGTGACCCAAGATGGTGCCATTGCACTCCAGTCTGGGAGACAGAGTAAGACGCTGTCTCAAAAAAAAAAAGAAAATATATAAGAAAATTTGACCTTGTAACAATCAAGAATTCCTGCACGACAAAAAACTTCATCATGAAAATAAAAAAATAAGTGCCAAACTGAGAAAATATGTTTATCACAGACAAAAGAATCCTCTCCCCTAATATGTAAGAAGTTATTAGATATCAATAAGGAAATGACAACACAATAAAAAGATAATTTACAACACACTGTGCAGTAGAATACTATGCACCTGTAAAAAAAAACACAAAAAAAAAACCTAAATAGATAATGTAAGAATTGATATGAAAAGCCTTCTAAAAACTAGTTAAATGAGGGAAAGCAATCAAAGTATAGAACTCCATGCATAAAATGCCAATTTTTCTACAAAAAAAAAAGAGGAGGAATAAGGCCTTTCATGATGGTAATTGCAAAAATAAAGTGAGCGGATACATAAAAAACTAAGAACAGTAGTGACCTCTGGAAGATGGGGGAACAGAGTAGATGTAGGGAGAGAGGGAGTCAGCCATTTCTCAGTACACCTTTTTAAACCTTCTGGTTTGGGAATCTTATACTTGACAAGAAAGGAAAGGGTGAGAAGGTGGGAGGGAAGAAATGAAGACATCATCAACTGTCCCTACACTGTAGGCAGAGGAAGAATAAAGTTATGAGTAACCCCAAACCCCAATTAAAGCAAAACTCAGACACCCCTTCATTATCTGGGGGTGACTGGACTCTTCTGCAGATTACTGAGGTTAAGGGAGCCGGCAGGTGCTCACCACCCAGCCTCTGGCCCTCCTGGGGACAGTGGTTGTTCAGCAATGATCTGGGGACCGGAGCACCCAAGAGGAGAGAGGCCAAACCTTGGGGCTGGCCTAAGGTGGGAGCGGGTAGAAGGAAGAGAGGCTCCCTGCAACCTCTTAACCTTTGGTCCTGGCAATTTCGGACAGTCATCTAAGTGCCCTTGCAAACCCTCAGGGGACACAAATGTGTGTGAGGACCTGCCTGCATCCAACCATGCTAAACTGCAAACCTACTATTCCAATTAGAGAAAAACCGGCTTGCCTGGGACTCAGAGTCATCAAGCCCTGTGTCCAGGCTGCCGGGCCATGCTTCACCCATCTGAGGGCTCATTACAAGTTCTTAGCCTGGAGCCCTTAGAGTCTCAAATTGTATGCAAACATTCTAGGTCTTTATATCCGCAAATTTGAGGGGGAAGAAGGTACACAGCTTTCTTCAGATTCTCAAAGGAATCCTTGACCTTAAAAAGGTCAAAGCTCGTAGGGGTGCGATGGCTCAGGCCTGTAATCCCAGTACTTTGGGAGGCCGAGGCGGCCGGATCACGAGGTCAGGAGATCGAGACCATCCCGGTTAACACGGTGAAACCCCGTCTCCACTAAAAAATACAAAAAAATTAGCTGGGCGTGGTGGCGGGCACCTGTAGTCCCAGCTACTCCGTAGGCTGAGGCAGAAGAATGGCGTGAACCTGGGAGGCAGAGGTTGCAGTGAGCCGAGATTGCAACATTGCACTCCAGCCTGGGCGACAGAGCGAGACTCCGTCTCAAAAAAAAAAAAAAAAAAAAAAAAGGTCAAAGCTCTCAGAACTCCAAAGTTATTCCAAATCTCCAACTCCCACACCTCTCCTCCCTCTCCTACCCCAGACTAGGGCTGAGGTCCAGAGGGGAAATGCTAGCCCCAAACTACACAGCAAATCTGGGGCAGAACCGGGACTGGGACCCCGGTGTCCCATGCCCTAATCCAAGGCCCTTGCCCCAACCACGCCAACGCGGAGCCTCGACCCACCTGACCGGCAGGGCGAGGGGCTGCGGCGGACCCGGCCCGGGGAGGTGGTGGTAGAGTCTTGCCTCCTGCTCATGGCTCTGGCCGAGCTCCTGGAACATGGAGCTGAGGCCGGCGACCGTGCCCTTCTGGATAGCACGGAGCGAGTGGCGTCGGTACTCGTCTCGGGCGCGCTGGGCTCGGCGGCTCCTCTCCTCATCAGCCGCCTTTGACCGGCGCACTGGAAACAGGAAGACAGCGCGTTAGCCCAGATCCGCAGCCCAGGCAGTGCACTAGGCCAGCTGGGACAGGATGTATTCGGTTGGTGCAAAAGTAATTGCAATGTAGTGGCAAAAAATCGCGGTGATTTTTGCACCAACCTAATAGTCCAAGAACCTCAGGATTCACCTGGCTGCAAGGAAGCTCAGAACCCAGAATCACAGGCAGGCCCCGCCCACCCCTAGCAGCAGCCCTAGAGCAAGCCTGTCCCTACAGAGGTAAAGATACCCTGACAGTTTAGGGTTGTCCAGTTGTTCCTGTGACGCCATTCTAGAATGGCCAAGCCACCTTGGAGTGGAAATTTCCATCTCCCTATGTATTTCTTCCTGGGAGTGTCCTGCTCAGAGCAGCTCCTCAAATCCTCTGCCCACTCAGCTCACCTGTTAAGGTGGCCAGCATCTCCAGACAGCACCACCGTCACCCTCATTGACAGTGCCAAGCCCTGGGTTTGGTGCCTTCCCTGCATTATCTAAGGGACTTCCCCCAACCACCCAGGGAGGGCACATTACTATTTCTGCTTTATGGGTGAGGAAACCAGCCTCTGAGAGGTTAAGTAACTTGCCCAAAGTAAATCAGCTAATAAGGAGCAGAACCTGGACAGAAACCCAGGTGTGCCCGGCTCTCTAAAACCCACACAGTTCTTTCCCCCCTCCATGGCCCCATCACTCAAGCATCTACCTTCGGTTTAAAACCCTGTGTATCTGACACCAGAGCTCTTTCCTACTAAAAAACAAAGAAGCATTGAAAGACCATCTGGCCCAACCTCCTCATGTTATTCATGTGGAAACTGAGGCCCAAGGAAGGACAGCAATTTGCCCAACTGGGTAAGTGGACCAGGCCAGGAACCATCCTTCCTCCTACTGCAAGATGAGTTGTTGGAAACACTAGTGTCCCAGTTCTGGAGCCCCTTCTTGGTTTCCCATGACCTTGACAGCTGGTAGGTGAGTGTATGGGCGGGGAGGGGGAAGAGGATCTTTTGATAACTCCAACAGCTTACAAGACTCCAAGACACCCAGCTCTCTAGCCCCCTGTATTCACATATACATGTATTAATATAAGTATATATATTCATTTTCTTGAGATAAAGTCTCATTCTGTCACCCAGGCTGGAGTGCAGTGGTGCGATCACAGCTCACTGCAACCTCGACCTCCTAGGCTCAAGCAATCCTCCCACCTCAGCCTCCTGAGTAGCTGAGACTACAGGTGTGTGCCACCATGCCCATCTAATTTTTTAAATTTTTTGCAGAGACAGGGCTTCACTATATTACCCAGCCTAGTCTTGAACTCTTGTTCCCACCTCGGCCTCCCCAAAGTACTGGGGTTATAAGAGTGAACCACCATGCACGACCTCTTCCATCTTTTTGTGCTCCTCAAGGAAGGGTCCTGTCTCAGCCAAGTGGCCTTGAAAAGATATCTGTGCTTCTAAATCTCAAAAGGGAGGTCGGGGACCAGGAAAATGCGGGAAAGGGAACAAAACCCATTACAGGCAAATTCTGGAATTAAAACCAATTATTTTGTAGTCTCTGCATCTTGGCAGGCCCCTATCTGCCTCTAAAATCCAACTATTTTGCAAAAACCTCTTGCTGGCTTTGTTCTTCTAATTGTACCAGGCTAATGCCCCAGCCCCAGTGGGTCACCTTCTCTTCTCAGAGTAAAATCTTAGTCTGTTTCTACTCTAATGCCACTCAACACATGCATAGCAGGCACCTACCAAGAACTGCACTGTTAGTATTCAAAGGTCAGTTGCCCTGTTCCTGAAAGAAAGCATTTCTACTTCACAAGTTGTCAAAGAACGCTTTCTGGGAACAGAACATCTCCCAGATCTGAGGAAGGCAGCATGAAGTCTGTCCCTCAGAAGGTATTTATGGAAGTGGCCCCATGGGTGTCCCATGCAGAATATCCACTAGGCTGTGAACTCCACGAGGGCAGGTGGAGAGTCTGCTTTGGTCTATTCATTGCTGTATTCGAGTAACACGGTCGGCAGGTGATACATATTTTTGTATGACTGATGGAACTCAATTAAGTATTTAGCGCTGCACTAGGCCCTGAGTTGGATACAGAGATAATAGTGAAGGAAATCCTTCTTTCAAGGCACTCAGAGGCAAGCTGGGAAAATAAGACCAACAAATATCTCTAGCATAATGAGGAAAGTAGTGAGCAGCATTTAAAAAAGAGACCAATGAAGTACTGTCAGAGTTTAGGGGCAGCAGCAGCCTCGCATGCTACTAGGGAGCCAGCAGTCATCACAGGAAATAATTTGACTGGGTGTGGGAAGATCAATAAGAGTTTTCCAGAGAAAGAAAAGGGAGGAGGCCATTCCAGAGAGAAAACTGAGGTTTCAGTGGTTTGTCACTCCTTATGTTACAAGGCTCCAAGACACCCCTCCCTCTGGCCTTCCATTTTTTTGTGTTCTTCAAGGAAGGGTCTTGTGTCTGCCAAGTGGCCCTGAGAAGACATCCATATGTTGTGGCTTCTGAAACTCAAAAGGGAGGTCTGTAAGTTCCAGACCCTAAGAACACCATGATACCTGCCTTGTATTGTGACGAAAGGCTCCAATAAGGTCAGGGGGCCCCGGGATGGCCTTTGCAGACATTTGACTGCAAACTAAAAACTAGAAGCTCGTGCCCTACAAGGACCATGACTTTTGGAAGATTACAGCCCCTGAGAGACAGTGACATTCAGTGACAGACAGGCAGGCAGGTTGCAGAAGGAAATTATATGCAGACTAGGGAGCCGGGTTTTTGGAGTTCAGACAGGTGGGGCCCTGAGCCATTTGTCACACAAAGACTAAACCCATTCTCCTAAAGCCCAGCTCTAATCTTACCACTTTCTTCCTCAAAAGCCTTCAGGGGCTCCCACTGCACACAGAATAAAATACAAACACCTTGGCCTGCCAGGTAAGACCCTGAGAAGTGCCCTGCCTACTTTCCTTACTTTCTCAGCTCAGTGGGCTCCTTCCCCAGCACACACAAACACACACACACACACACACCCTCACATCATTCTGCACTGTAGCTCCACCACACTCCCACCAAGCTACAAGCCTGCCTCTGTGCAGCCGTGTTCACCAACTCAGACCAACCGGGTCAGCACAGAGATCTCAGGCCCACCCTACTCCCCTGCCCAGACCGAAAAAGCTCAGTGTCCTACAGAATTCAGATGATCCAGTTACATCCTGCAGAGAAACTCCATGCTTCAAAGCAACATTAATTTGTAGTAATCCCTTGTGTGAAGAGAACAATGTCCCTGAAAATTAATGAATAATCCTATAATATGGGGAAAGGCATCAGTAAAGATTTGAATTGTATGTGAATGTGGATGTATTTAAATTCTGCTCCGTGTGATCTTGGGC